AAATTTTGATAAATTAACAATAGATTAAAACAATAAGCATAAATTTACATAATGATTAGCTGTTAATTAAATGCATTATAATGATATTATGTAAACTAAATAAATCAATATTGATTTATAGTTTAATGAACAAGTTTTATTTGTGATGTTTTAAATTTATTATTACAGAAAATGATAACAACTAATGTAAATGATTAATAATTTAAACTTATAATTTTGATATGACAAATAAAAATTAATCTGAGAATTTAAAAAAAAATTATCTGTAATATTTTATTTACTTTGATATATCTGAATTGTTTAATAAAAATAAGTCAAGTAAATTTTAAGTTTGATTAAAGAATTGATGCAAGATTTGAAATGATCTACCATAAATATGAAGCACGAAAACCCTTTAGGTTTAATAAGCAGTATCAAAAAAAATTACAAAGAAATTTTCTTGATAATCTATATAATCACAATAAAGTGAGATGTATGATTTACACTTATTTATAATCTCTACAAGCAAGGTTTTTATGTTATTTCATTACATCTGATTTTGTAATAAAAAAGATCACTTTAGTTATTCAATATATTTCATTGATTAAAAATATTAAAAGATATCAAAATACTTCTTGTAAATTATAGTTTATTATTGCTTATATATTAAGTAATATATTATTAATCATCTAATTACTATTCTTATATTAATACTGTTATTCAAATTGATTCACTTTTTTTATATTTCTATATATATTTATGAAAAACAGATTCCAAATATTTTTGAATTTGTGAATCTAAATATCATATATTTCTAATTAGTTAATTATTTATTATTTAGTAAATTATGAATAATATACTAAAAATATATAAAAAAAAAAAAAAAATGGAAATTAATAATTTTTTTAATTTAATTATTAATAAATAAATAAAATAAATAAATTTTAAGATTACATAATAAAAAAGAATATTTTAAAATGTATAATTAAATGATTAAATTTATGTATATTTTTTTTTTGAAATTTTAATTAATACACTTAAGATATAACCTCTATTATAATTGTTTAGAATCTATTTTAGCTGTATTTAATTTAAATTATAAAAATATATTATAACTACTCTATTTACTCATAATATTTAAAATTTATTAATAATTTTTAAAAAAAAGCTAAACTTAAAATGCTATTTTAATTGTCTTTATATTATAAAAAAAATTTTACAGGATATATACAATTTCAAATTTCAAAAATGTGAATTTACTTTTAAATTAATATCAGTTAAAATTTCTTAATTTAGTCATTAAATAAATATTCTAATTTCAAAGAAAAAATTTAATGGTAAATAATTTGCCATTAATTGATTTAGAATTGAATATATGAATATGAGAGAGAAAATGGCAATTATAAAAAATTTTATGGAATTAGGTTTTTTATTTTGAAAACTACATTTCCTTTTTTTCTCACATTAACGAAAAAAGAATAACTGCAGCAATTTATAAATATGTTGAAAATCATTTATTACCACTTTGGAGAATAAAAACTAGCAAATCCTTCAGGAAATTATATTGGGATTGTTGAAAAAATTCATTATATACATGATTTTTACGACTTTACCAGATGCTCTCTTAATGATCATATAAAGAAAAAAAAACTTGAAGGGCATAATACACAATTGATACTTACCCAATATTACTTGGACAATCAATTAGATGACAGAATACCTTCAATTTGATTAATTAAATCAGCTTTTAAACGATCTGGCTTTGCTCCAGTTGCTTGAATATATGCTTTTAGTTGATCTACTGTTGCCTATTGAAAGAATATATAAGGTAAAAAGATTTATAAAAAATATACATATGGGCTTCGTCAATAGAAACGCACCGTAAAACATAAGTTATTTGTGCGTTTCTATTGACGAAGCCCTTATACTAAATATAATTTACAAACCGTTTTAAGCTGAATAAGAAATGTCAAATAAAATCTTAATATATGATTTAAAATTCACTATATGACAAAAGATAATTTTTAATACCTTTCCCTTCTCCCACAAAGATTTTATATCAACATTGGATGATACAGATGAACTAGTTCCACGAGTTCCACGAGATGTTGATTTTTTAGATTGAATTGTCATTTGGTTGGCAAGCAATTCTACACTTCGTTGATCTGACTCATGATTGAACGCCTCAATAATCTTTCCGACACGCTTTATTTCAAAAAAACCTTTACTTTTTAAATATAAATAAATAAAAAAAATTTAAATAAATATCAATATATCTATCATAAAGAAACCTTGTTTATCGCTGCAAATTTTGGTACGGTCGAATCCTCAACGCCTAGAGGAATGTCCTTCTCAAATGCCATAGCTTGTAATACATCATAGAAGCGTTCAAATTCTATATAAAATGTATTAGATAAGTAATTAATTAAAGCAAAAATAAACATTGTTATGTTCTTACCAGGATTATTGAATTTGCATGGATCAAATCCGTCTTTCATATGCAATTTATCAACAATTGGTTTTAAAAGATCAATCATCTCATCCGGAGCTATATCATAATCATTGTAAATTTAAAATTTTATAATTCAAATAAACCATTATTATAAGAGAAAATTATCTCACCAGATGTAATTTCAGCATGAGGTGGAAGCGGTCTGATATCATCAACAAATGGAAGATGTATCATATTGAGCCCAGGGGGGATCATCTGTCGTTTCTCTTCATCTAATTTTTCGGCCTTAAAATATAGTGTCGTAAATAACTAATATCATTTGTATAAATAAGGTAATCATTTAAAATGAATTACCTGGGCTTTGAGTGCAACAAAAGAAGGAAGAGAGTTATCACGTTTGACAAAGTAACATATTGCAACTTTGTCCATTTCTAGCATTTTTTTATGCAACGCTGCAAATGTTCTTCTGCTACCTTCAAATTGCTGATAATGACAATATTAATGATAACAACAATAAGAAAATAATACATTTATTAATGAAATTCCATGAAAAGATATTCACGCTAAACAAATACTCACTCCTTCATCAGGATATAAGAATGATGGGTGGTCAATATTGTAATGAATCTTAACGACACTTGATGGCTTAAAGCCGATAAGAGTAAGACCTAAACGTTTAAATTTATTTATATAATAAGGTAATCAATAAATCGAATTTAACTATTATGGAAGTGGACAAATATATCAATTTACCTTTCTGCCCAAATCTTCTTAATTCGGCAACTTCAGATTTAGTAAATGCTATCTATATAAAAATTAAGAAAGTCAGGTTAATAGAGAAACTTCTCATTTTTTGATTATTAACATTCTAACCTTTTCGCCTCCATAATCATAACAATACTTTATATCATCAGACATCAGCTCTTGAGTTGTGTCCTAATAAGATTATTTTATAATTAGTAAACATCAATTAAATCTTTAATGATATATTGTGAAAACAAGATATGTACCATGCAAACATATTTCGTTCTAGACTCAGCAAGTCGTGTAGTTTCTGACCTCATGTGTACCATTCTTGCTAACGGTTTCTTTTTCTCAATAACCATGGCATAACTATATATTAGACAATAATATTGAACTTAAAAATAAAATTATTAAATCGGAAAAGTTTAAAGCCATACCCTTTAATACCAATTGTAAGTTCAGGAGTTCCTTCATCACCTCCAAACAAACGAAATGGTATCGAGAACAAAGATCTCCTTGGTGACTCTTTAGCCATAATTTGGGAAACAAGACTTTCAAAGTTATTTTGTGCATTATAGTAAGGGATTTCGTCGATTTCATCACTTTGAATGATTTCCTTATTTAAGTTAAAGATGTTTAAATAAGAGTATATTAGTAGATTAAAAGAGGATGAGTAAAAGAGCAGGCATTAATTTGATATTCACCGAATAAAAGGCATTGAAATTAAAAACATGATCCGGCTTATTTAAGCTGAATAGATTAATTTGGATACCAGATTCGGTCAAATCCTTCAAGTTAAGGAAATTTCCAATGTTAAAGATGTAATCAATAAATCCGATAATAAAAATATTAGAATAATCACAAACCCTTGCACGAGTTATCGCAGTGCTACGTAAAACTGGATTTGATACGTGTGGGTTGTCTTGATCAGTAATTAAGAAAATTCTCTTTGTCTTTAGAGTTTTAGAAGTTCTAAAAGGTGGTAATAATATTGGTAACCATATAATTAACAATTAATGAAAATATATTATTTAATATAAATACTAACTCTTTATTGAATAATTCACTACAAATCCAAAACACGTCTCCGATTGGATATTCTTCATCCGTACTTCCATATTCATTATCAAACTCGACCTCACCTAAGTTAAAAGATTAAAATGAAATGCTTAAATAAATCGAAAATTTATTATTATATTTGTTTAATTACCTGATCCAATATTGTTTAATTCTTTAACTCTCTGAATATCAGGTGAATCAAGATTATGAAGAACAAAAACATGTTCTTTTTGAAGCGTATTTGATGATTTTTTCTATACAATTAATAGTTGTTTTAGATACAATGTATTATTTATTTAAAAGCTATTAATTATATAAATTTAATAATACCGTTCCCATGAACATTACACCGATAAGATCAGATATATTATCGGATAAAAGTTTAGATGTCATTACTTCTGAAATACAATGAATTGCTGAACGGAACGGAATCTCTGCAACCTGTACCGCTTCATCGACTCCATCTGATTGGCTTTTTTTCATCATTGACAAAGATGCATCGATTACAAAAATAACTGCATCTCTATTGCTAGTCATAAGCTACCATACAGAATCTAATTTAAACTTTGGTAATTTAAATCAAAAAATTAAATTAATTAAATTCTAAACCATTTTTTCCTCTGCTCCAATGTCTTCTTCCGCGTCAAATTCATCCTGTTCTTTATCAGAAAAGGAAGCCCAAGAACTTGAAATTGTGTTTGAAGAAGACATTTTTAATCGTTAATTTTCTAAAAAAGATGGCGCAGCAATTAAGAAATATCATTTCACACGAAGTAATTTTACACGTTGAATATTAACTAATCAAAATATTGATTTTGATTGGATAAATTTATAGATTGAGAAGACGCGTGAATGTGTATCACGTGATAATTTCATATTAACGTGTCAAATTTATCCGAGTCTGTATTAACCTTTTCTTTTACTCCATCTACAAAGCCTATTATAAACATATTTGCTGACAAAGTTTGTGCATTTGGCGAAGAACGGTAAGTGAAATTTTTTGTTCTATATAACCACGTACTACCAAATCTGCAAGGATATAATTAGCCAACTCTTTTGGCTTTCCAAATTTTGGTTTTTTGCGACCTTTATATGCCTCCAATTCAGCTAACCCTGATTCCCGGATGTTTTTGTGTTTGATTTACAATCATTAAATTTCACAGTTATTATTATTTTTTATCTCTTCGATAATTTCTAATAAATGAAAATATCTGATTTCTGCAATTATCGCACTTTAAGCACTTTAAGCAAGAAGAAGGGGCAGTATCACCATTCCAAAGATGATAACGACTTATTATTTGAATTCGGCAATCATATTGATTTCTACAAAATAAAAGGACTTCACGAATTTTGTGTATTAAGATATGATTTTCGCTCACATTCATCGTTTGATTATTAAAATATCTGCAATATTAAGAATAGAGAGCATTCAAATAAATAATTTTAATTAGTCAAACATTTACGTTTCACAATTTTCAGCCAAAATCTTTAAACCTTTTTTTTTACTGAACTAGCGAGTTAGTTCTTTTTTCCCAGTATCCACCACATATTTAATGCATATCAGAAGTGCAATAAGTCATACAAACGTAATTTGTCATACAGAGAATGATGATATTGATGAGTAGATTAATTTTTTTTAATAAAAAAAGCATAAATGATTGATTTAAAGATTTTTAATATATGTTTTTTTTTTGATATGGTATATTTTTTTTCTAATTAAATTAAAGATTATGATAAGCAAATTATGATTTTAGTTAAAT